ATCTAAGCGACATCTTATGAAACAACAATACTACGCAAGAAGAAAAATTAGGCGGAAGAAAAAAAAAATAATAATAATAATCAGAACAAAATCAATAGGTCTTTCCACGGAAAGGTGGAAAGACCTAACTAGAATTGCCATTGCAAGCAATACCGAATGTCACCCTTCCCCCCATTGCCACTAAGCGGCAGCCAATTCGAAAATTTTAAACATTAAATGCACATAGATGCATGGCAATACATCTTTCTGTAAATTTTCACACCATTTTGAAGTTTTTGAAATTTACACATTTTTGCTGTTTCCACGGCCATTTTGGAAATTCCAAAGATGGATGGCAGATCTTCACATGCCAAGTAACATTTCCACAAAGTTTCAGTCAATTTGGAAGACTTTCCCATTTTTCACATTATTTCTGTTTCCATGGCAACGACGGCCATCTTGGAAATGCCAACCCCCGATTACACATCTGTACATGGGTTTCAATATTATTGATAAGTTTCATTATAATGGTCCATACAATTTCGAGAAATAATCTGGACAAAAAAGTGTGGAATAAGAAAAATAACTAGATTTGTAATTGCGAGCAATAACGGATGGCACCCTCGTCCCCCTATTGCCAGGGTAACGGCAGCCATTTTGAAAATTCCAAAGTCAAAGAGCGCATCTACTCATGCCATTTAACATTGTTGTAAAGTTTCATTAAGTTTGGAGCATTTTGAAATTTTGGACATATTTGTTGTTTCCATGGTAACGTCGACCATCTTGAAAATGCCATACCCCGATTGTAAATCTGCACATGCTGATTAACATTATTGTAAAGTTCCATTAACATTGGTTTATAAAATTCCGAGATATAAGCTGGACAAAAAAAGTGGAAGAAAAAAAATAATAACTAGATTTTTAATTCCTAGCAATAACGGATGACACCCTTCCCCCATTGCCAGGTGAGCAGCAGCCATTTTGAAAATTCCAAAGTCAAAGAGCGCATCTACAGATGTCTAATAACATTGTTGTAAAGTTTCATCACTTTTGGAGCATTTCAAAATTTTAGAAATTGTTGATGTTTCTATGGTAACGGTTTCCATTTCCAAAATTCCAAAGACAGTTACCACTTTGGGACATGCCATGTTACATATACATAAAGTTTTATTAGATTTGATCTAATATTCTTGCAGGAAATGCAGCTTTAATGGGTTTTTTGTCTGTTTCCATAACGGCCGCCATTTTGAATATGCCATACCCTGCTTGCAAATCTGCACATGCTGGGTAACATGATGGTATAGTTCCATGACCATTGGTTCATACAGTTCCAAGAAATAAGCTGGACAAAAAAAGTGGAAGAAAAATAAAAGCAACTAGATTTGTAATTGCTAGCAATAACGGATGGCACCCTTCCCCGATTGCCAGGGTAACGGCAGCCATTTTGAAAATTCGAAAGTCAAAGAGCGCATCTACACATGCCAATTCACATTGTTGTAACGTTTCATTAAGTTTGGAGCATTTTGAAATGTTAGACATTTTTGCTGTTTCCATGGTAACGGGCGGCCATCTTGATTATGCCATGCCCCGATTGCAAATCTGCACATGCTGGTTATCATTATGGTATAGTTCCATGACAATTGGTTCATACAATTCCGAGATATAAGCTGGACAAAAAAAGTGGAAAAAAAATAATAATAACTAGATTTGTAATTGCTAGCAATAACGGATGGCACCCTTCCCCCTTTGCCAGGTGAGCGGCAGCCATTTTGAAAATTCCAAAGTCAAAGAGCGCATCTACAGATGTCTATTAACATTGTTGTAAAGTTTCATCAATTTTAGAGCATTTTAAATTTTTTGAAATTTTTTGCTATTTCCATGGTAACGGGTACAATTCCCGAAATTCCCAAAGCACAAAAACATGTGCCACTTTTGGATATGCCATGTTACATATCCATTAAGTTCTAGAAGGTTTGATCTAACATTCCTTCAGGAAATGCAGCTTCAATGTGTTTTCCCGTAGGGTCAATTTTAAACTTTCGCCCTGTTTTCATGACAATGGCGGCCATTTTGGAATTTCCTAATATTGTCACAACATCTAAACGTACCAAGGAACATTATCATAAAGTTTCATCCAGCTAGGTCTTATAATGAAAGATTTAGAATTTTGAAAATTTTTCACTGTTTTGCAGTTTCCATGGAAACGGCGGCCATATTAAAAAATTCCAGAGTCAGATGCACAACTTCACATGGGGGTCCTCATTATAGTATAGTTCCATTAACATTGTATCACTCAATTCTGAGAAACAGCGTGGACAAAATGTGTGGAAGAATAATAAAAATAACAAGTAATCCTGTGTTAGGATGCTAACACAAAAGTCGCCAAAACGGCCCCAACCATTGTTCTGCTGTTTCCATTTTGAAATTTCAAAGTCGGATACTGTGGATTCATTAATATTCGTTGGATACCAATTTTTGTTGATTTCGAGGGAACATGGGAACCACGAATTTAAATGTTCAACGAATAAACAAATTTTCAAAAGGAATGTATGCAGACTTTGACAAAACCAAGAAATTAAACATCCACGAATATACAAGTTTTCCTCAAACCACGAAAATTGGTACCCACGAAAATAAATGAATCCACAGTAGCACATCTACACATGACAGGTTACATTACTGTCAAGTTTCATAAAGATTGGACCAAATCTAGATTTTTCGCATTGTTGTTGTTTCCATGGCAACGGCGGCCATTTTGGAAATTCCAAAGTCAATTTCCAAATCTACATACACTCGTTAACATCTCTGTAAAAGTTCATTAAATTTGAAGCATTTTAAAAAAAATTCACATTTTTGCAGTTTCCATGGTAACGGCGGCCATTTTAAAAATTCCAAAGTCGAATTACAGCTACATATGGTGCTACCTGTAATAATCTATCATTATATAACATAAAAAGTACATAGGAATAATTCAACACTATCACATGACTAATCACATGACTATTGTTCTAGAATGTTCCATGAAAATTGACCCCTTAAAATAATGCCAAGATGATCCCGGGCTGAAATAAAAAAATGTGGAATGGACACCTGGACATCGGTCTCTTGTATTTCACAAAACTTAAAGGTTCTACCAGTAGCGAATCAATAGTCGAAAAATGACCCCACCCATGTTCCGGCCCCCAAATAGTGCCAAGTTGACCCTTATTTGAAATAAAAAATAGTAAATGCATCCCTAGGGATACTACCCCATCATCATACCAAATATAAAGTTTCCATCATTTAAGGCTTGGAAGAAAATGGTCGGACAAATTAATGTTAATAATAATAATAATAATAATATTAATAACTAGATTTGCCATTGCAAGCAATAGCGGATGTCACCCATCCCCCATTGCCACTAAGAGGCAGCCATTTCGAAAATTTTAAACAAGGAATGCACATATATGCATGGCTATACATGTTTCTATAAATTTTTAGAACATTTAGAGCATTTTTGATGATTTAAAATTTTTGACATTTTTGCAGTTTCCATGGCAACGGTGGCCATTTTGGAAATTCCAAATTCAAAAGTCTCATTTAGACTTGCCAGTCAAGAATCATATTAAGTTTCATAAAGTTTAGAGCATTTTGAAATTTTTGAAATTTTTGACATTTTTTCTGGTTTCCATGGTAACGGCAGCCATTTTGGAAATTCCAACTTCAAATACCACATCTACCAATCTTGCTCATCGTTACTGTGAAGTTTCATTAAGTTTGGAACAATTTGATATTTTTGAAATTTTTGATGTAGTTTCCAAGGCAACATAGTAGTTCCGATGATTGCCAAAATCATCCAAAACCAGTATATAGTGGACACCTACATTTTATTAAAATTTGATGATTTTAAGTTAAAGCATACCCAAATAATTCTCCAAACCCTAAAATTTTATTTTTTCACCTTTTTTCGGTTTCCGTGGTAACGGCAGCCATTTTTTAGTTCCAAAGTTCCACTGCAACACAAAAGACTGGGTTCCTAGCTATTGTGACAAATCATTTAGATTGGTTCCATTGGCTCTGAGAAAACTGCCGGTCAAAATTAGGTGGAAGTTTAATAATAATAATAATAATACGGAAAAAGAAACAGAGGAAAAGCAATATGTCACCCGACATTGTCGATCGGATGACATAACAAGTAATCCTGTGTAAGAATGCTAACACAAAAGTCGCTAAAACGGCCCCCAACCATTGTTCTGTTATTTCCATAGTAACGGCAGACATTTTGAAATTTCAAAGTCGGATATCACATCTACACGTGACAGGTCACATAACTAACAAGTTTCATCAAAATTGGACCAATTTTCAAATTTAGGCATTCGTGTTTCCATGGTTACGGTGGCCATTTTGGAAATTCCAAAGTCAAATGCCACATCTACATAAGACAGTCAACATTTGTGTAAAGTTTCATTAGGTTTAAAGCATTTTGAATTTTTTGACATTTTTGCAGTTTCCATGGTAACGGCAGCCATTTTGAAAATTCCAAAGTCGGATGGCACATCTACACATGCAGGTCACATTACTGTCAAGTTTCATAAAGATTGGACCAAATCTAGATTTTTCGCATTTTTGTTGTTTCCATGGCAACGGCGGCCATTTTGGAAATTCCAAAGTCAAATTCCAAATCTACATACACTCACATAACAAAACTTCACATAACATTTCATTGCATATAAGAAAATAACCATCACTGGAAGTTAACCAATCAAATTTTCCCCCTTTTTTAACCTGTATACAAGCTTTAGTAACCATGTAACCTCAAGTTTCCAAAATATTCTATAGAAACCCCAAATAAAAAAATAATGGTGCTTTGAAATACCCAAGATATATGTTTATGACCCAGAAATGTTTTACTGCAATGAAATGTAGGATCAATTACCTACAACTGTCAAATTCAAGGGAATATTTTTTTTCGACCTATTTTCGTATGCAACCGGATGTGACGTACTATGATTTGGCGTTTTACACCTAAAGAAGACTTTTTTGTTAAATAAACTGAATGTGACTTTTTTCCTTTGTTATACTGGTTATTTCAAGCATTCCTGTCAAGTTTTGTCATAATCAGTTCAATAGTTTGAGAAAAATCTAGTATAATGTAAGACGACATCTGCAGCGATTCGAGCTAAATTTCTTCGAAAAATCCAAACCAAGCCGCATCATGATAGAATATAGTGTGGAGCAATAAATGATCAAATATTTATCTCATCTGCCTACAAACAGTTGAATATGATACAAAAGATGACTTTAGGATGATAAATACTACCAATGGACCTCTTTGTCTTCCTTATAAGGTCTCTTTTGGTCCATTTATACCTCTCATTTCCTCAAAATTTCTACTTTATAGGCCAATAAATAAAAATTTTGGGGTAACTTTCACTCATTTATGATAGAAATGTTATAATAAATGATTAATTGAAGTATTCAAGCTGAATGAACTATCCGTATAAAAGTTTACTGTCTCCAAGGAGGTTTCAATAAGTCCTTACGTAAAACTTAAATTTACGCCGCGTTCCAGAGAGGGACATAAAAAGCTTCTCTTTTGGTGAATAATTTGTTGTTACTGCTTTAAAAATAATTTCATTTACTTAAAACTATATATTTATTAAAGTATGTCTTAGGAAAAATTTTCTAGTATAGCAGAATATAAGAAAAAAGAAGAAAAAGCTCCCCAAAACTCTAAGTATGGCTTATTCTGTCAACTTATATTCATGGTAAAGTCCTATTTCAAGGAAATTTTCTCATAAAATGTGTTTTGGAGACTCAATCCACTCAGAATATTTCATTATTAGTAATATTTCACTTAAATAGCAAGAAATTTTAACACATGAGAGTACTCACAAGGTCAAAGGTGCATGTACAGCTTCCTATATTAGGTGTAATACCACCATTGATTTTCCCCTATTAGTCTTAGTTAAATTTGCACTTTTCAAAAAATTGTGCAGAATTTATCTTTGTTTCAAATAAAGAAATACTTGGCATGAGTAAAGTTTGATCCTGTCCAGTACTATAGAAAAAACTTCACATAACATTTCATTGCATATAAGAAAATAACCATCACTGGAAGTTAACCAATCAAATTTTCCCCCTTTTCTAACCTGTATACAAGCTTTAGTAACCATGTAACCTCAAGTTTCCAAAATATTCTATAGAAACCCCAAATAAAAAAATAATGGTGCTTTGAAATACCCAAGATATATGTTTATGACCCAGAAATGTTTTACTGCAATGAAATGTAGGATCAATTACCTACAACTGTCAAATTCAAGGAAATATTTTTTTTCGACCTATTTTCGTATGCAACCGGATGTGACGTACTATGATTTGGTGGTATTACACCTTTAGGTGTAATACCACCATTGATTTTCCCCTATTAGTCTTTGTTAAATTTGCACTTTTCAAAAAATTGTGCAGAATTTATCTTTGTTTCAAATAAAGAAATACTTGGCATGAGTAAAGTTTGATCCTGTCCAGTACTATAGAAAAAACTTCACATAACATTTAATTGCATATAAGAAAACAACCATCACTGGAAGTTAACCAATCAAATTTTCCCCTTTTTTTAACCTGTATACAAGCTTTAGTAACCATGTAACCTCAAGTTTCCAAAATATTCTATAGAAACCCCAAATAAAAAAATAATGGTGCTTTGAAATACCCAAGATATATGTTTATGACCCAGAAATGTTTTACTGCAATGAAATGTAGGATCAATTACCTACAACTGTCAAATTCAAGGGAATATTTTTTTTCGACCTATTTTCGTATGCAACCGGACATGACGTACTATGATTTGGTGGTATTACACCTAAAGAAGACTTTTTTGTTAAATAAACTGAATGTGACTTTTTTCCTTTGTTATACTGGTTATTTCAAGCATTCCTGTCAAGTTTTGTCATAATCAGTTCAATAGTTTGAGAAAAATCTAGTATAATGTAAGACGACATCTGCAGCGATTCAAGCTAAATTTCTTCGAAAAATCCAAACCAAGCCGCATCATGATAGAATATAGTGTGGACCAATAAATGATCAAATATTTATCTCATCTGCCTACAAACAGTTGAATATGATACAAAAGATGACTTTAGGATGATAAATACTACCAATGGACCTCTTTGTCTTCCTTATAAGGTCTCTTTTGGTCCATTTATACCTCTCATTTCCTCAAAATTTCTACTTTATAGGCCAATAAATAAAAATTTTGGGGTAACTTTCACTCATTTATGATAGAAATGTTATAATAAATGATTAATTGAAGTATTCAAGCTGAATGAACTATCCGTATAAAAGTTTACTGTCTCCAAGGAGGTTTCAATAAGTCCTTACGTAAAACTTAAATTTACGCCGCGTTCCAGAGAGGGACATAAAAAGCTTCTCTTTTGGTGAATAATTTGTTGTTACTGCTTTAAAAATAATTTCATTTACTTAAAACTATATATTTATTAAAGTATGTCTTAGGAAAAATTTTCTAGTATAGCAGAATATAAGAAAAAAGAAGAAAAAGCTCCCCAAAACTCTAAGTATGGCTTATTCTGTCAACTTATATTCATGGTAAAGTCCTATTTCAAGGAAATTTTCTCATAAAATGTGTTTTGGAGACTCAATCCACTCAGAATATTTCATTATTAGTAATATTTCACTTAAATAGCAAGAAATTTTAACACATGAGAGTACTCACAAGGTCAAAGGTGCATGTACAGCTTCCTATATTAGGTGTAATACCACCATTGATTTTCCCCTATTAGTCTTTGTTAAATTTGCACTTTTCAAAAAATTGTGCAGCATTTATCTTTGTTTCAAATAAAGAAATACTTGGCATGAGTAAAGTTTGATCTTGTCCAGTACTATAGAAAAAACTTCACATAACATTTCATTGCATATAAGAAAATAACCATCACTGGAAGTTAACCAATCAAATTTTCCCCCTTTTTTAACCTGTATACAAGCTTTAGTAACCATGTAACCTCAAGTTTCCAAAATATTCTATAGAAACCCCAAATAAAAAAATAATGGTGCTTTGAAATACCCAAGATATATGTTTATGACCCAGAAATGTTTTACTGCAATGAAATGTAGAATCAATTACCTACAACTGTCAAATTCAAGGAAATATTTTTTTTCGACCTATTTTCGTATGCAACCGGATGTGACGTACTATGATTTGGTGGTATTACACCTTTAGGTGTAATACCACCATTGATTTTCCCCTATTAGTCTTTGTTAAATTTGCACTTTTCAAAAAATTGTGCAGAATTTATCTTTGTTTCAAATAAAGAAATACTTGGCATGAGTAAAGTTTGATCCTGTCCAGTACTATAGAAAAAATTTCACATAACATTTCATTGCATATAAGAAAATAACCATCACTGGAAGTTAACCAATCAAATTTTCCCCCTTTTTTAACCTGTATACAAGCTTTAGTAACCATGTAACCTCAAGTTTCCAAAATATTCTATAGAAACCCCAAATAAAAAAATAATGGTGCTTTGAAATACCCAAGATATATGTTTATGACTTAGAAATGTTTTACTGCAATGAAATGTAGGATCAATTACCTACAACTGTCAAATTCAAGGGAATATTTTTTTTCGACCTATTTTCGTATGCAACCGGATGTGACGTACTATGATTTGGTGGTATTACACCTAAAAAAGACTTTTTTGTTAAATAAACTGAATGTGACTTTTTTCCTTTGTTATACTGGTTATTTCAAGCATTCCTGTCAAGTTTTGTCATAATCAGTTCAATAGTTTGAGAAAAATCTAGTATAATGTAAGACGACATCTGCAGCGATTCGAGCTAAATTTCTTCGAAAAATCCAAACCAAGCCGCATCATGATAGAATATAGTGTGGACCAATAAATGATCAAATATTTATCTCATCTGCCTACAAACAGTTGGATATGATACAAAAGATGACTTTAGGATGATAAATACTACCAATGGACCTCTTTGTCTTCCTTATAAGGTCTCTTCTGGTCCATTTATACCTCTCATTTCCTCAAAATTTCTACTTTATAGGCCAATAAATAAAAATTTTGGGGTAACTTTCACTCATTTATGATAGAAATGTTATAATAAATGATTAATTGAAGTATTCAAGCTGAATGAACTATCCGTATAAAAGTTTACTGTCTCCAAGGAGGTTTCAATAAGTCCTTACGTAAAACTTAAATTTACGCCGCGTTCCAGAGAGGGACATAAAAAGCTTCTCTTTTGGTGAATAATTTGTTGTTACTGCTTTAAAAATAATTTCATTTACTTAAAACTATATATTTATTAAAGTATTTCTTAGGAAAATTTTTCTAGTATAGCAGAATATAAGAAAAAAGGAGAAAAAGCTCCCCAAAACTCTAAGTATGGCTTATTCTGTCAACTAATATTCATGGTAAAGTCCTATTTCAAGGAAATTTTCTCATAAAATGTGTTTTGGAGACTCAATCCACTCAGAATATTTCATTATTAGTAATATTTCACTTAAATAGCAAGAAATTTTAACACATGAGAGTACTCACAAGGTCAAAGGTGCATGTACAGCTTCCTATATTAGGTGTAATACCACCATTGATTTTCCCCTATTAGTCTTTGTTAAATTTGCACTTTTCAAAAAATTGTGCAGAATTTATCTTTGTTTCAAATAAAGAAATACTTGGCATGAGTAAAGTTTGATCCTGTCCAGTACTATAGAAAAAAATTTACATAACATTTCATTGCATATAAGAAAATAACCATCACTGGAAGTTAACCAATCAAATTTTCCCCCTTTTTTAACCTGTATACAAGCTTTAGTAACCATGTAACCTCAAGTTTCCAAAATATTCTATAGAAACCCCAAATAAAAAAATAATGGTGCTTTGAAATACCCAAGATATATGTTTATGACCCAGAAATGTTTTACTGCAATGAAATGTAGGATCAATTACCTACAACTGTCAAATTCAAGGGAATATTTTTTTTCGACCTATTTTCGTATGCAACCGGATGTGACGTACTATGATTTGGTGGTATTACACCTAAAGAAGACTTTTTTGTTAAATAAACTGAATGTGACTTTTTTCCTTTGTTATACTGGTTATTTCAAGCATTCCTGTCAAGTTTTGTCATAATCAGTTCAATAGTTTGAGAAAAATCTAGTATAATGTAAGACGACATCTGCAGCGATTCGAGCTAAATTTCTTCGAAAAATCCAAACCAAGCCGCATCATGATAGAATATAGTGTGGACCAATAAATGATCAAATATTTATCTCATCTGCCTACAAACAGTTGAATATGATACAAAAGATGACTTTAGGATGATAAATACTACCAATGGACCTCTTTGTCTTCCTTATAAGGTCTCTTCTGGTCCATTTATACCTCTCATTTCCTCAAAATTTCTACTTTATAGGCCAATAAATAAAAATTTTGGGGTAACTTTCACTCATTTATGATAGAAATGTTATAATAAATGATTAATTGAAGTATTCAAGCTGAATGAACTGTCCGTATAAAAGTTTACTGTCTCCAAGGAGGTTTCAATAAGTCCTTACGTAAAACTTAAATTTACGCCGCGTTCCAGAGAGGGACATAAAAAGCTTCTCTTTTGGTGAATAATTTGTTGTTACTGCTTTAAAAATAATTTCATTTACTTAAAACTATATATTTATTAAAGTATTTCTTAGGAAAATTTTTTCTAGTATAGCAGAATATAAGAAAAAAGGAGAAAAAGCTCCCCAAAACTCTAAGTATGGCTTATTCTGTCAACTAATATTCATGGTAAAGTCCTATTTCAAGGAAATTTACTCATAAAATGTGTTTTGGAGACTCAATCCACTCAGAATATTTCATTATTAGTAATATTTCACTTAAATAGCAAGAAATTTTAACACATGAGAGTACTCACAAGGTCAAAGGTGCATGTACAGCTTCCTATATTAGGTGTAATACCACCATTGATTTTCCCCTATTAGTCTTTGTTAAATTTGCACTTTTCAAAAAATTGTGCAGAATTTATCTTTGTTTCAAATAAAGAAATACTTGGCATGAGTAAAGTTTGATCCTGTCCAGTACTATAGAAAAAAATTTACATAACATTTCATTGCATATAAGAAAATAACCATCACTGGAAGTTAACCAATCAAATTTTCCCCTTTTTTTAACCTGTATACAAGCTTTAGTAACCATGTAACCTCAAGTTTCCAAAATATTCTATAGAAACCCCAAATAAAAAAATAATGGTGCTTTGAAATACCCAAGATATATGTTTATGACCCAGAAATGTTTTACTGCAATGAAATGTAGGATCAATTACCTACAACTGTCAAATTCAAGGGAATATTTTTTTTCGACCTATTTTCGTATGCAACCGGATGTGACGTACTATGATTTGGTGGTATTACACCTAAAGAAAACTTTTTTGTTAAATAAACTGAATGTGACTTTTTTCCTTTGTTATACTGGTTATTTCAAGCATTCCTGTCAAGTTTTGTCATAATCAGTTCAATAGTTTGAGAAAAATCTAGTATAATGTAAGACGACATCTGCAGCGATTCGAGCTAAATTTCTTCGAAAAATCCAAACCAAGCCGCATCATGATAGAATATAGTGTGGACCAATAAATGATCAAATATTTATCTCATCTGCCTACAAACAGTTGAATATGATACAAAAGATGACTTTAGGATGATAAATACTACCAATGGACCTCTTTGTCTTCCTTATAAGGTCTCTTTTGGTCCATTTATACCTCTCATTTCCTCAAAATTTCTACTTTATAGGCCAATAAATAAAAATTTTGGGGTAACTTTCACTCATTTATGATAGAAATGTTATAATAAATGATTAATTGAAGTATTCAAGCTGAATGAACTATCCGTATAAAAGTTTACTGTCTCCAAGGAGGTTTCAATAAGTCCTTACGTAAAACTTAAATTTACGCCGCGTTCCAGAGAGGGACATAAAAAGCTTCTCTTTTGGTGAATAATTTGTTGTTACTGCTTTAAAAATAATTTCATTTACTTAAAACTATATATTTATTAAAGTATGTCTTAGGAAAAATTTTCTAGTATAGCAGAATATAAGAAAAAAGAAGAAAAAGCTCCCCAAAACTCTAAGTATGGCTTATTCTGTCAACTTATATTCATGGTAAAGTCCTATTTCAAGGAAATTTTCTCATAAAATGTGTTTTGGAGACTCAATCCACTCAGAATATTTCATTATTAGTAATATTTCACTTAAATAGCAAGAAATTTTAACACATGAGAGTACTCACAAGGTCAAAGGTGCATGTACAGCTTCCTATATTAGGTGTAATACCACCATTGATTTTCCCCTATTAGTCTTTGTTAAATTTGCACTTTTCAAAAAATTGTGCAGAATTTATCTTTGTTTCAAATAAAGAAATACTTGGCATGAGTAAAGTTTGATCCTGTCCAGTACTATAGAAAAAATTTCACATAACATTCCATTGCATATAAGAAAATAACCATCACTGGAAGTTAACCAATCAAATTTTCCCCCTTTTTTAACCTGTATACAAGCTTTAGTATCCATGTAACCTCAAGTTTCCAAAATATTCTATAGAAACCCCAAATAAAAAAATAATGGTGCTTTGAAATACCCAAGATATATGTTTATGACCCAGAAATGTTTTACTGCAATGAAATGTAGGATCAATTACCTACAACTGTCAAATTCAAGGAAATATTTTTTTTCGACCTATTTTCGTATGCAACCGGATGTGACGTACTATGATTTGGTGGTATTACACCTTTAGGTGTAATACCACCATTGATTTTCCCCTATTAGTCTTTGTTAAATTTGCACTTTTCAAAAAATTGTGCAGAATTTATCTTTGTTTCAAATAAAGAAATACTTGGCATGAGTAAAGTTTGATCCTGTCCAGTACTATAGAAAAAATTTCACATAACATTTCATTGCATATAAGAAAATAACCATCACTGGAAGTTAACCAATCAAATTTTCCCCCTTTTTTAACCTGTATACAAGCTTTAGTATCCATGTAACCTCAAGTTTCCAAAATATTCTATAGAAACCCCAAATAAAAAAATAATGGTGCTTTGAAATACCCAAGATATATGTTTATGACCCAGAAATGTTTTACTGCAATGAAATGTAGGATCAATTACCTACAACTGTCAAATTCAAGGAAATATTTTTTTTCGACCTATTTTCGTATGCAACCGGATGTGACGTACTATGATTTGGTGGTATTACACCTTTAGGTGTAATACCACCATTGATTTTCCCCTATTAGTCTTTGTTAAATTTGCACTTTTCAAAAAATTGTGCAGAATTTATCTTTGTTTCAAATAAAGAAATACTTGGCATGAGTAAAGTTTGATCCTGTCCAGTACTATAGAAAAAATTTCACATAACATTTCATTGCATATAAGAAAATAACCATCACTGGAAATTAACCAATCAAATTTTCCCCCTTTTTTAACCTGTATACAAGCTTTAGTATCCATGTAACCTCAAGTTTCCAAAATATTCTATAGAAACCCCAAATAAAAAAATAATGGTGCTTTGAAATACCCAAGATATATGTTTATGACCCAGAAATGTTTTACTGCAATGAAATGTAGGATCAATTACCTACAACTGTCAAATTCAAGGAAATATTTTTTTTCGACCTATTTTCGTATGCAACCGGATGTGACGTACTATGATTTGGCGTTTTACACCTAAAGAAGACTTTTTTTGTTAAATAAACTGAATGTGACTTTTTTCCTTTGTTATACTGGTTATTTCAAGCATTCCTGTCAAGTTTTGTCATAATCAGTTCAATAGTTTGAGAAAAATCTAGTATAATGTAAGACGACATCTGCAGCGATTCGAGCTAAATTTCTTCGAAAAATCCAAACCAAGCCGCATCATGATAGAATATTGTGTGGACCAATAAATGATCAAATATTTATCTCATCTGCCTACAAACAGTTGAATATGATACAAAAGATGACTTTAGGATGATAAATACTACCAATGGACCTCTTTGTCTTCCTTATAAGGTCTCTTCTGGTCCATTTATACCTCTCATTTCCTCAAAATTTCTACTTTATAGGCCAATAAATAAAAATTTTGGGGTAACTTTCACTCATTTATGATAGAAATGTTATAATAAATGATTAATTGAAGTATTCAAGCTGAATGAACTATCCGTATAAAAGTTTACTGTCTCCAAGGAGGTTTCAATAAGTCCTTACGTAAAACTTAAATTTACGCCGCGTTCCAGAGAGGGACATAAAAAGCTTCTCTTTTGGTGAATAATTTGTTGTTACTGCTTTAAAAATAATTTCATTTACTTAAAACTATATATTTATTAAAGTATTTCTTAGGAAATTTTTTTCTAGTATAGCAGAATATAAGAAAAAAGGAGAAAAAGCTCCCCAAAACTCTAAGTATGGCTTATTCTGTCAACTAATATTCATGGTAAAGTCCTATTTCAAGGAAATTTTCTCATAAAATGTGTTTTGGAGACTCAATCCACTCAGAATATTTCATTATTAGTAATATTTCACTTAAATAGCAAGAAATTTTAACACATGAGAGTACTCACAAGGTCAAAGGTGCATGTACAGCTTCCTATATTAGGTGTAATACCACCATTGATTTTCCCCTATTAGTCTTTGTTAAATTTGCACTTTTCAAAAAATTGTGCAGAATTTATCTTTGTTTCAAATAAAGAAATACTTGGCATGAGTAAAGTTTGATCCTGTCCAGTACTATAGAAAAAATTTCACATAACATTTCATTGCATATAAGAAAATAACCATCACTGGAAGTTAACCAATCAAATTTTCCCCCTTTTTTAACCTGTATACAAGCTTTAGTAACCATGTAACCTCAAGTTTCCAAAATATTCTATAGAAACCCCAAATAAAAAAATAATGGTGCTTTAAAAAACCCAAGATATATGTTTATGACCCAGAAATGTTTTACTGCAATGAAATGTAGGATCAATTACCTACAACTGTCAAATTCAAGGGAATATTTTTTTTCGACCTATTTTCGTATGCAACCGGATGTGACGTACTATGATTTGGTGGTATTACACCTAAAGAAGACTTTTTTGTTAAATAAACTGAATGTGACTTTTTTCCTTTGTTATACTGGTTATTTCAAGCATTCCTGTCAAGTTTTGTCATAATCAGTTCGATAGTTTGAGAAAAATCTAGTATAATGTAAGACGACATCTGCAGCGATTCGAGCTAAATTTCTTCGAAAAATCCAAACCAAGCCGCATCATGATAGAATATAGTGTGGACCAATAAATGATCAAATATTTATCTCATCTGCCTACAAACAGTTGAATATGATACAAAAGATGACTTTAGGATGATAAATACTACCAATGGACCTCTTTGTCTTCCTTATTAGGTCTCTTCTGGTCCATTTATACCTCTCATTTCCTCAAAATTTCTACTTTATAGGCCAATAAATAAAAATTTTGGGGTAACTTTCACTCATTTATGATAGAAATGTTATAATAAATGATTAATTGAAGTATTCAAGCTGAATGAACTATCCGTATAAAAGTTTACTGTCTCCAAGGAGGTTTCAATAAGTCCTTACGTAAAACTTAAATTTACGCCGCGTTCCAGAGAGGGACATAAAAAGCTTCTCTTTTGGTGAATAATTTGTTGTTACTGCTTTAAAAATAATTTCATTTACTTAAAACTATATATTTATTAAAGTATTTCTTAGGAAAATTTTTTCTAGTATAGCAGAATATAAGAAAAAAGGAGAAAAAGCTCCCCAAAACTCTAAGTATGGCTTATTCTGTCAACTAATATTCATGGTAAAGTCCTATTTCAAGGAAATTTTCTCATAAAATGTGTTTTGGAGACTCAATCCACTCAGAATATTTCATTATTAGTAATATTTCACTTAAATAGCAAGAAATTTTAACACATGAGAGTACTCACAAGGTCAAAGGTGCATGTACAGCTTCCTATATTAAATAGGTGTAATACCACCATTGATTTTCCCCTATTAGTCTTTGTTAAATTTGCACTTTTCAAAAAATTGTGCAGAATTTATCTTTGTTTCAAATAAAGAAATACTTGGCATGAGTAAAGTTTGATCCTGTCCAGTACTATAGAAAAAATTTCACATAACATTTCATTGCATATAAGAAAATAACCATCACTGGAAGTTAACCAATCAAATTTTCCCCCTTTTTTAACCTGTATACAAGCTTTAGTAACCATGTAACCTCAAGTTTCCAAAATATTCTATAGAAACCCCAAATAAAAAAATAATGGTGCTTTGAAATACCCAAGATATATGTTTATGACCCAGAAATGTTTTACTGCAATGAAATGTAGGATCAATTACCTACAACTGTCAAATTCAAGGGAATATTTTTTTTCGACCTATTTTCGTATGCAACCGGACATGACGTACTATGATTTGGTGGTATTACACCTAAAGAAGACTTTTTTGTTAAATAAACTGAATGTGACTTTCTTCCTTTGTTATACTGGTTATTTCAAGCATTCCTGTCAAGTTTTGTCATAATCAGTTCAATAGTTTGAGAAAAATCTAGTATAATGTAAGACGACATCTGCAGCGATTCGAGCTAAATTTCTTCGAAAAATCCAAACCAAGCCGCATCATGATAGAATATAGTGTGGACCAATAAATGATCAAATATTTATCTCATCTGCCTACAAACAGTTGAATATGATACAAAAGATGACTTTAGGATGATAAATACTACCAATGGACCTCTTTGTCTTCCTTATAAGGTCTCTTCTGGTCCATTTATACCTCTCATTTCCTCAAAATTTCTACTTTATAGGCCAATAAATAAAAATTTTGGGGTAACTTTCACTCATTTATGATAGAAATGTTATAATAAATGATTAATTGAAGTATTCAAGCTGAATGAACTATCCGTATAAAAGTTTACTGTCTCCAAGGAGGTTTCAATAAGTCCTTACGTAAAACTTAAATTTACGCCGCGTTCCAGAGAGGGACATAAAAAGCTTCTCTTTTGGTGAATAATTTGTTGTTACTGCTTTAAAAATAATTTCATTTACTTAAAACTATATATTTATTAAAGTATTTCTTAGGAAAATTTTTTCTAGAATAGCAGAATATAAGAAAAAAGGAGAAAAAGCTCCCCAAAACTCTAAGTATGGCTTATTCTGTCAACTAATATTCATGGTAAAGTCCTATTTCAAGGAAATTTTCTCATAAAATGTGTTTTGGAGACTCAATCCACTCAGAATATTTCATTATTAGTAATATTTCACTTAAATAGCAAGAAATTTTAACACATGAGAGTACTCACAAGGTCAAAGGTGCATGTACAGCTTCCTATATTAAATAGGTGTAATACCACCATTGATTTTCCCCTATTAGTCTTTGTTAAATTTGCACTTTTCAAAAAATTGTGCAGAATTTATCTTTGTTTCAAATAAAGAAATACTTGGCATGAGTAAAGTTTGATCCTGTCCAGTACTATAGAAAAAATTTCACATAACATTTCATTGCATATAAGAAAATAACCATCACTGGAAGTTAACCAATCAAATTTTCCCCCTTTTTTAACCTGTATACAAGCTTTAGTAACCATGTAACCTCAAGTTTCCAAAATATTCTATAGAAACCCCAAATAAAAAAATAATGGTGCTTTGAAATACCCAAGATATATGTTTATGACCCAGAAATGTTTTACTGCAATGAAATGTAGGATCAATTACCTACAACTGTCAAATTCAAGGGAATATTTTTTTTCGACCTATTTTCGTATGCAACCGGACATGACGTACTATGATTTGGTGGTATTACACCTAAAGAAGACTTTTTTGTTAAATAAACTGAATGTGACTTTCTTCCTTTGTTATACTGGTTATTTCAAGCATTCTTGTCAAGTTTTGTCATAATCAGTTCAATAGTTTGAGAAAAATCTAGTATAATGTAAGACGACATCTGCAGCGATTCGAGCTAAATTTCTTCGAAAAATCCAAACCAAGCCGCATCATGATAGAATATAGTGTGGACCAATAAATGATCAAATATTTATCTCATCTGCCTACAAACAGTTGAATATGATACAAAAGATGACTTTAGGATGATAAATACTACCAATGGACCTCTTTGTCTTCCTTATAAGGTCTCTTCTGGTCCATTTATACCTCTCATTTCCTCAAAATTTCTACTTTATAGGCCAATAAATAAAAATTTTGGGGTAACTTTCACTCATTTATGATAGAAATGTTATAATAAATGATTAATTGAAGTATTCAAGCTGAATGAACTATCCGTATAAAAGTTTACTGTCTCCAAGGAGGTTTCAATAAGTCCTTACGTAAAACTTAAATTTACGCCGCGTTCCAGAGAGGGACATAAAAAGCTTCTCTTTTGGTGAATAATTTGTTGTTACTGCTTTAAAAATAATTTCATTTACTTAAAACTATATATTTATTAAAGTATTTCTTAGGAAAATTTTTTCTAGAATAGCAGAATATAAGAAAAAAGGAGAAAAAGCTCCCCAAAACTCTAAGTATGGCTTATTCTGTCAACTAATATTCATGGTAAAGTCCTATTTCAAGGAAATTTTCTCATAAAATGTGTTTTGGAGACTCAATCCACTCAGAATATTTCATTATTAGTAATATTTCACTTAAATAGCAAGAAATTTTAACACATGAGAGTACTCACAAGGTCAAAGGTGCATGTACAGCTTCCTATAAAGAAGACTTTTTTGTTAAATAAACTGAATGTGACTTTTTTCCTTTGTTATACTGGTTATTTCAAGCATTCCTGTCAAGTTTTGTCATAATCAGTTCAATAGTTTGAGAAAAATCTAGTATAATGTAAGACGACATCTGCAGCGATTCGAGCTAAATTTCTTCGAAAAATCCAAACCAAGCCGCATCATGATAGAATATAGTGTGGACCAATAAATGATCAAATATTTATCTCATCTGCCTACAAACAGTTGAATATGATACAAAAGATGACTTTAGGATGATAAATACTACCAATGGACCTCTTTGTCTTCCTTATAAGGTCTCTTCTGGTCCATTTATACCTCTCATTTCCTCAAAATTTCTACTTTATAGGCCAATAAATAAAAATTTTGGGGTAACTTTCACTCATTTATGATAGAAATGTTATAATAAATGATTAATTGAAGTATTCAAGCTGAATGAACTATCCGTATAAAAGTTTACTGTCTCCAAGGAGGTTTCAATAAGTCCTTACGTAAAACTTAAATTTACGCCGCGTTCCAGAGAGGGACATAAAAAGCTTCTCTTTTGGTGAATAATTTGTTGTTACTGCTTTAAAAATAATTTCATTTACTTAAAACCATATATTTATTAAAGTATTTCTTAGGAAAATTTTTTCTAGTATAGCAGAATATAAGAAAAAAGGAGAAAAAGCTCCCCAAAACTCTAAGTATGGCTTATTCTGTCAACTAATATTCATGGTAAAGTCCTATTTCAAGGAAATTTTCTCATAAAATGTGTTTTGGAGACTCAATCCACTCAGAATATTTCATTATTAGTAATATTTCACTTAAATAGCAAGAAATTTTAACACATGAGAGTACTCACAAGGTCAAAGGTGCATGTACAGCTTCCTATATTAGGTGTAATACCACCATTGATTTTCCCCTATTAGTCTTTGTTAAATTTGCACTTTTCAAAAAATTGTGCAGAATTTATCTTTGTTTCAAATAAAGAAATACTTGGCATGAGTAACGTTTGATCCTGTCCAGTACTATAGAAAAAATTTCACATAACATTTCATTGCATATAAGAAAATAACCATCACTGGAAGTTAACCAATCAAATTTTCCCCCTTTTTTAACCTGTATACAAGCTTTAGTAACCATGTAACCTCAAGTTTCCAAAATATTCTATAGAAACCCCAAATAAAAAAATAATGGTGCTTTAAAAAACCCAAGATATATGTTTATGACCCAGAAATGTTTTACTGCAA